ACTGACCGTGAGCTCACACACTGGGAGGAAAAGCCAAAGACGTAATTTCTGGTCAAACAGCAAGACAGAAAACCTCTTGCTCGTTAAAACAACACAGTATAGCCAGCCCACCCCAAATACTCCATGTCAGTCAACTGTCTCTTCTGCAAGTCTGGTATATACATCTTACCTACTTGTGTTCCATCTACACACTTCAGAGAAATGAAACTGCTTTGAAAAAACCAACACCTACTAAAAAAATCCAATTTCTTATTCCTCAATATGATTTATTAATCAGACTTAAGTTTTCTGAAAGTATTATTAGTATGGAATTAGTGCATAAGCAACTTTATCGTAGATTTAATACAAACTGTAACAATATGATTTTAGACTTAGTTTTGTAAAAATTTTTAATTACTTTGTTTATGTGTGCCACAGGGTACATGGGGGTCCTGGAAACCAAACGCAGGTTGTCAGGTCAGGTGACAAGTGCCTTTACCCAGAGCCGTTTTGCCAGCCATAGACTTAACTTTTGAGTACCCAAGTACAAAAGAAAAGGAGTATTTGAATCTTTGATTATTTTAGGAGGAAAGCAAACTATATTATACATTTTCTATCTTCTAAAGTAAATTGAATTCTAGTACATGTTGATTAACATACCACACATATATACTTGCTGATTTCATTAATGCTTTCCTCAGATACAAAGATCATCTTCATAAAAGACCAAGATATTGAAGCATATTAAAGCCTGCCCTGGGAGATAATGAGCAGAATGGCAGCAGCAGCATTAACACTGGGCAACAATCACCAGCTGGCCTCCAAAGGGCTGCAAAATGCTCAGCTCTAACTGGTCTTTATGAGACCTCATGAAGTAGACACATTAAATTCCCCCACCATACACTGAGGAGCAAGGTCAGTTATTAGACCCTGAGTAACGACAACTTTTCAGCTGGTGACCCTTCTCTCCCCGGTTCCTAGGTTACAGGCATGTGCTGCTTTGATGAGCCACCATGGTACAGTAAACTACTTTATTAATTTACAAAGCTCAAGCACCTTGTTCTGCTGAGGAGGAATCTGAATGTAAGAGAAATGAGCGAGTTCCCAGTGGTTCTCCAGCTACTTATTGGTGGAGCTAACCAGGCTCACTTGTTCATTTTCAACAGCTCAAAGACACTTTCACCCAGCACCACAGAAAGGAGAGCAAGGGCAGTTTTATTTCTTGCTGCAAGTCTTACTACTATGTAGCCCAGGCTAGCCCGAAGCTTGCTAGTTAGTGTCCAAGAGGTCCTTCAAATTCAAGATCCACAAGGACTGCTCACAGTGTACCGCTGACTAGCACAGAGTGCTGAATGCTCACCGAACAACCCGGCAGACAGAACTAAGGCCCCAGTCATTTTTTTGTCTTACTCATTCTGCCTTCTTCTGTACCGAGATGCTAAGAAATGAAAGTCAGTCAAACCTGAATCTTCCTTGTCACGTGTCTGATAGCCATACTTCTGGAAAAACTCTCTTAGTTTCATGATGTCTGTTGAATTTTTTTTCATCAGTACTTTTGTTGCCTTTATGAATCTTGTGCTATCTTGACTTTCCAATCTTGCTTTATTGAGATGAGTGGTAACATCATCCTTTTAGGGAGAAAGCAAATATAATACGTATGGTCTAATCTACTGTGTAATGGCTATCATTACGTTTAGACTTACTATGCTCAAGAGACCAAGAAACAAAATAGCCTCTAGCAATAAGCCCCTAAATTGTACAGGCTATCCCCTAATTGCCCACTTCCCTCCTTCCCCAGACAATGACAACTAATCTTAAAATTGAATGATCTTGTAAAATTTACTTTTCCTGCAAGAAGTCACAAGACTAACTGCCATTCCTGCTTTTGCAATCAAGCTTGCTTACTCTGCTCAAAGAGATGACTAGACTATTGCAAGACATACATGTTAAAACAGGCCCTACTTACATGCACACAGAATACTTGTAATCCCTGGCTTTTAGCCCTGGGTTGATATGGCTAAATGCTGCAGCTTGGCAGCGCTCTCAGGGACTACTCTGGTCCCAAGCAGTCAGGTGCCAGGAAATAAAAAGTCTCTTATTAAAATCTTAGGTGCTGCCTGACTGGTGGATCTCTGAGAGACCCAGACTTCTAATAACTTAAGCTACAGAAAATCACCCACCATGAAAAATGATAAATAAATAGTACCTTTAGAGTCTGAACTTCTGAGAGAAGGTCATATAAAACTCTCATTGGAGAATCCTCAAAGTCTTCTAGGAAGGAAGGGAAAAAGTTCAATAAGGATGAGGAAAACAGAAAAGTTAGAATAGTTCCTCAGACATAAAAATCCTGCTGGGTGTGGTGCCTTTTAATCCCAGCAGTTGGAAGGTAGAGCTGGCAGATCTCTGAGTTCCAGGACAGTCAGAGCTACAGAGAAATTCTATCTTAACAAACTAACAGCAAAAACAAAATAAACAAATAAATAACCTTCAATGAACAACAACATACACAAAGTACATAAATCTCCAGACGTAGCAGGCCAGGTCTTTGATTCACAACTGAGGCAAAAAGCAGATGGATCTATTTGAGTTCAAGGCCAGATCCCAGGTATGATCAACACAGCAAGGGCTACACAGTGAGTTCTTATCTCACCAAATAAAGTACACCTAACAGACAAATGTCCTAAATACAGAAACACAAAATATAGCAAATGATACAAGGGAGTAATGGAGTAACTGCTGTACAATGTGGATGATGGACGTGGGGAACGATGCTAAAGGGCTGCATCCTCTAGGGTTCTTTTTACAGGAAAGGTCCGGAATGGGCAAGTCCACTCACACAGAAAGACATAAGGTTGTCTAAAGCCAGCGGGGTGGCACTGATAGGACTGGGGGAACAACTGTTTGCTATTTTCTTCCTCCCTCCGTCCCTCTGTCCCTCCGTCCGTCCCTCCCTCCCTTCCCTCCCTCCCTCCCTCCCTTTCTAATGAATCGGTTTGGGTTTACTAAGAGACACCTGTAAAGACAGGAGCAAGCTAAACCTTCTTCTGTACTGAGAGTTCCACAACTGACTATACTAAGAACCAGTGAAAAGCATTCTGAAGAGTTTTGCTGTATGTAAATTATCTCAAAGAGAATTTGGAAGTCCATTTAGTGATCCAACACTATAGTCACTGTTGGTTGGGGTTTCTATTGCTGCAAGGAACACCATGACCAAAAGCAACTTGGGGGAGGAAAGGGTTTATTTGCCCAACACTTCCACATCACAACCCATCAGTGAAGGAAGTCAGGACAGGAACTCAAACAGGGTAGGAACCTGGAGGCAGGGGCTGATGCAGAGGCCATGGAGGAGTGCCGCTTACTGGCTTACTCAGCCTGCTTCTACAGAACCATGACCACCAACCCAGAATAACCCATCTACAATGGGCTGGGCCCTCCCACATCACATGCACTAAGAAAAAGCCCTCTAGGCTTACCTACAGGCCAGTCTTAGGGAGGCATTTTTCAACTGGGATTCCCTCCTCTCAGAGGACTCTAGCCTGTGTCAACCTGACAGAAAATTAGCTGACAGAAAATTAGCCTGCACAGTTATAAAGAGTAAAACTGCTGGTAACTATCGTCTGTGTATTTTTTACATAATAATTAAAGAATTATTACTATTACAACTTTTCATTGTAAAAAACAAATGAAGTTTGTGTAGAGGTAATGTTTTGGTAAGAATACTGACCAGCAAACACTTTGTGAAAAGCAATTTTTATAGAATCAAAAATACTAATGCACTTTAATCTATTATGCTGCGTTCACTCAAAAACATAAACAAATACAGCACATTTTAATCCCCTAAAATAAGAATGGCAGAAAGGTTGCTAAAACAGTAAGTTATGTCTCTTGTGAGTTAACATTTCCAAATGGACGGTTTACCAGAACTAATAGGAATCTGTGTTTACAGGGTGCAATATTATTTAAGACACATTACAATTGTGTCATTTTAAGGAAACAATCTCAAAATTTGAACCACTGTTGCAACAATTTTTTTTGGGGGGGGGGGGGTGTTCTGTAGCTTTGGAGCCTGTCCTGGAAATAGCTCTTGTAGACCAGGCTGGTCTCGAACTCACAGAGATCTGCCTGTCTTTGCCTCCCGAGTGCTGGGATTAAAGGCGTGCGACACCATCGCCCGGCTTGCAACGATTTTTTTAAAGACAGGTTGTTACTGTGGACGGTCTGGAGCTCCCTATGGGGCGCAGGCTGGCCTGGAACTCCCCAACCACTTGGGAGGCAAAGGCAGAGTGAGTTCCAGGACAGGCTCCAAAGCTACAGAGAAACCCTGTCTCAAAAACAAAACAAAAGAAACGGCGTTGAATTTTATTTATTAAAAAAAAAAACAGCAGTACTGAGTATTTGTACTGGAAATACAGTATCACTGAAGAAACTGCAGATGTTTGTTAGCTTCAACGCACACACAGGAGAACTGCGCTTAGTGCGTTTCCGAACAGACGAAGGTGGATGCTGTTGGCAAGCAGCCAACACCCCAGGACGCCTGGCAAGCACAGTCAGCCTGGACGACACCGGCAAAGCACAGCTCGCCTTCGCCCACCCTGGCGGGGGCCGCCGCCCACTGACAACCGCGCCCGCCCGGCCGCCCGCGCCCTCACCGCTGTCCTCGCCGTCCAGCGCCAGCGTCAGCCGGGCCGTCTCGCCGTCCAGCACGGCGGCCAGACCCCGCAGCTTAGAGTGGAAACTCTGGATAGGGTTCATGCTGCGGGAAGCTGAGCCGACCGCCGACCTCCTCGCTCAGCCTCCAACCCGCCGCTCATTTGAATCCTACCGCCCGGAACCAGGAGCCCACTCCGCGCACGCGCAGACTCTCGCGAGAGCGGAGATCTCGCACCGGGGCCCCAGGACTCCCAGGACGAAACTCGCGCGTGCGTCCTCGCTTCGGTCAGTGTCTGAGAACTCGGAGGTGAGAGCGTCTAAGTGAGTTCGAGGGTCAGGCGCGTTCTTTGGGGGGCCTATCGTCCCCCGCCGTGTGGTCGACACCGGTGCCCCACTTCCGGTGAGGGGCAGAGCGAGCCCTGGCATCGACCCGGTCCCCTGTCCCCCACTTCCGGTGAGGGGCAGAGCGAGCCCTGGCGTCGGCCCGGTCCCCTGCCCCCCACTTCCGGTGAGCTGCTCAGGCATCGGCCCAGTGGGCGCGGGACGTGGGAGGCAGCGCGGCACGTACGCTGCTCGCTTCCCGGCTCCGGATCTCAGCGACCCCGGCTTCCGTGTCCTTTCCTCAGGAGGCGCCATGTTCCTCACCGCCGCCCTCCTCCGCGGCCGCATTCCGGGCCGGCAGTGGATCGGGAAGCACCGGCGGCCACGGAACGTGTCTTCCCAGATGAAGGCGAACTTGTTGCGTCGCCTGGAGGTGGAGGCCGAGAACCACTACTGGCTGAGCATGCCCTACATGACGGCGGAGCAGGAGTTCGGCCACGCCGCGCAGCGCCGGGCGCAGGCGTTCGAGGCCATCAAGGCGGCCGCCACTTCCAGATTCCCCGAGCATAGATACGTTGCCGACCAGCTAGGCCATCTCAACGTCACCAAGAAATGGTCCTGACCTGGAGTCATCACCTTTGCTCTCAGGGAGACGAGACTGTTGTGTACTTTGCTGGCCCCGGAGCTGAAGGAAAATGTAATTTATGTAACCTTCGACCAGAATATTATTAAAGTAAACATGATTAATAGTTGTTTCCTCTAGGATATTTGGGACTCTCCCTAAGCACTGGCTCACGCCTGTGACCCTCACACCCAGGAGGAAGAGGGAGAGAAATCTCTGCTGGTGTGCTCAGACCCAGCCTCAGAAAGCCAAGGAAAGAATATTTGGGGCTCTAACCTTGCTATCTGTGCGTAATTTCTGATCGATTGTCAGTTGTGGTTTGTTTGTTTCCTGACCTCAAATTTGGTAACCTTGCCTGTCTCCAGGAGCTGAAATGAAAGGCATTGGCTCCCTGCCCTACCGTGAACTGTGGCGTTTTTTTGGAGCTAGGTCTCCCTGTGTATTGAACTCACGAGATCCGCTGGCCTCCGCCTCCTAACGCTAGGATTAGCGGCTCCCCTTCGCACCTTGAGCTTTTTTTTTTTTTAATACTGTTATAAAAACTAACCTGACGAGTCTAATCGGAGACACTTGCCTAGGACTTTGTTGTACAAGTTTTCTTAGTTTCTGTCTAGAGCAGCACCTATGTGTGGGGAGCAACTCCGTCGGTGGGGGATGGGATATGTTGAAAGACCATTTCACAGGAGTCACCTAAGACTATCAAAAACAGACATTTACGATTCATAACAGTAGCAAAATTACAGCTATAAATGTGCAATGAAAACATTTTATGGTTGGGGTCACCACACCATGAGGAACTGTATTAAAGGGTCACAGCATTAGGAAGTTTGAGGACCACTGGTCTAGAGTGTTTACTCCCCAGCACAGTAAGGTGGGTATGGTGGAGCATACCTGGAATCTCAGCATTCTGGAGGTGGAGGCAGTTCAGAAGGACAAGGTCATAGCCCACTATGGAGCAAGGTTGAGGCCAGCCTGAGATACATGAGACCATTTCGCAAAAGAAAGGGGTATTTTCTTCCAGGATTTGAGCACCGTGGGTGGACGTGTGAAGTGAAAGACGCTTATTAAGTCAGGTCTCTATATTTTCGTTCTTTGAAGAAGGGTCTATAAGTAGAATAATTTATATTGTCTTTTTTTCTTGACTGTGTAGTGTGTGGAACAGTCTTAAGGTGGCAGTAGACCCTTTGTGTACTGACACTGCCAAAATGCTACCCTGCAGTTACACAGAAAAGAGTAGTGAATTTGTTCCCTTCTGTACTGTTTGTGGTAGGAAAGCAATTTAATGAAAGGATAATTCAGGTCTACAGTCCAGAGACTGCTGCTTTTGACACTCTGGTTTACATCTTCCCAGCTACCCACAGATGCTTAGTCATTGTTCATATAGAGGGAATTATACTAGTGTTTCAGAAATGCTGAGTCAAGTCTGCACTTGGGACTGTTTAGGCCTCTTTGCTTATAATCCACCTTTTCTCTGTAATTTGGTCATTACAGTTTTTTATAAATTTGCAGGAAAGTTTGTGATTCACGAAACAACAGTGAAAACTATGAATGGTTCCCTTCATCATTTTGCTTCCTATTTCCCTTTCCTCAACAGCACAGTGTTTTCTTGGACATGAGTCAACTACCTTTTCTTCTAAATCTAATGGACATAAACAAAACTAGTACACTTAATACATAATCCATACATCTACTCTTAACATGTAGTGAGCACTTCTAAACATGTAGCAAAACTAGACATTTAAGCAAAGGGCTGAGAGGTAATTACTACACTCACAGGGCAGGGTAATACACACATGAAGCAACAGTTCTAATACACAGATTTTAGAAGGAATCGTTCCACTTCTTTACAGTGGCATTTCATTTGTATTTTAATAAATAAAGCTTGCCTGAGGATCAGAAAAGTAAAACAGCCACACTGACCAGCCTTACAGACCAGGCAGCATGACACACACCTTTAATCCCAGTAGCCACACTAGCTTGCTATAGAAGCCAGGCAGTAGTGGTGCACAACATTAATCCCAGCCCTATAGAGGAATAGAAGACAAGACAGCTCTCAGTCCCAGTCTCATTCTGAGCTGTAGTTTCCTGGAGGCAGGATCAACATTTTCGGACTGAGGTCAAGGTAAGAGCCAGTGGCTGACTGCTTTGCTTTTCTGGTCTTCAGGTTGAACCCCAATATCTGTGAGTTTTTATTAATCATGCTACACTTCCTACTTTCTACCCTCCAACCTGTGAGATAAAACTCTGGCATGAATGAGTCCAAGTGATGTGAACATCACATTACAAACTTTCCATCTCTCTAGATTATTAAACTCGATAGTGCTGCTGATGAAACCTGGGGTGTCACATGTTATACGGGGGCTCTGCCAACTGAGCTCCATACCCTGCCTGAAAAGTAGGGGATTTTGTTGGCCGTGGTGGATGCCTTTGATCAGCATTCAGGAGGCATAGCAGATGACAGTTCCAGACCAGTCTGGTCTACATAGCTCCAACCCAGCCAGGGCTACATAGTGAGACCCTCTCAAAACAACAAAAATGGGCAGTGGGTGTGGTCCACAGGATGTGTGAGGACAACTCACACAGATTCAAGTCAATAGAAACTTTATTAGCCAGTCGGTCACTACACTGGGTGTTTGCCACTTGAGTCCTCAAAACACACCTGGGTTGACATATTTCCCATAACAAGAACAGTTAGCCAGAAGCAGAACTACAGAAGAAGAAAAAAAAGGGTAGGAGACATTTAGAAACTTGCCCAGAACTCTGGACTTTGATGGGTTAGGTTTTGTTTTCATTTTTGGCAGGTATTGCTGCTTCTGTGCACGTCCATTATGCTGTGTTGGGGAATATTTTCAGGTGTGTGACTTTTGTTTCCACTCTATTTGTTTAACTCAAGCTGTGTTACTATGCCTGTCTAAAACACCTGATGGTCCTAAAAAAAAAAAATGTACAGCCAATAGTGAGTGAGGCAGGAGCAAGGATAGGCGGGGCTAGTATGCAGAGAGTATAAATAGGAGGAAATCTGGGAGGAACAAGAGCTCATGTCAAGAGAATAAGGAGAAGAGGACATAAGGGGCCAGTCACCCAGCAGCCATGGGAGTAAGAGTGAAAGTAAGATTTACAGAAGAGAAAGATAAAAGCCCAGAGGCAAAAGGTAGATGGGATAATTTAAGAAAAGCTGGCTAGCCTTTAATCCCAGCACTCGGGAGGCAGAGAACTCTGTGAGTTCGAGACCAGCCTGGTCTACAAGAGTTAGTACCAGGACAGGCTCCAAAGCCACAGAGAAACCCTGACTCGAAAAGCTGGCTAGAAACAAAACAGGCTAAGGCTAGGTTATTATAACTAAGAATAAGTGTGTTTACTTGGGAGCTTGGTGGGAGGCCCCTCAAAAAGCCAAAATAGGGGCTTGTGAGATGACTCAGTGGTTAAGAGCACTTGACTGCTCCTCCAGAGGACCCAGGTTCAATTCTCAGCACCCATATGGCAGCCTGCAGCTGTCTGTAACTCCAGATTCAAGAGAATCTGACATCGTTATACCAGTGCACATGAAATAAAGTTTTTAAAAAAGCCAAAATAAAACATCACACTAGAATGGTTTATGTTGGGCTAAGATCTGGGATTTGTTACAGGTTCATGTAACCCAGACTGACCTACAAATTATCTTCCCCCAGTGCTGGGATTATATGGAAAGTGAGTTTTTCAAACTACTTCCAGCACACATCCACATCCCCACACTTTGAAAGGACAGCATGATACAGGCACCACATTCATTTGAAAAGATTGAAGTTGATTGCAGCACTCAGAAGGCAGAAGCAGGTGATCTGAGTTCGAGGCCAGTCTGGTCTACAGCGAGTTCCAGGATTGCCAGGACTACACAGAGAAATCCTGTCTCAAAAAGCCAAAAAAAGGAAAAGGGATAGGTTGCAGGTATAGTTCAGAAGTAGTGTTTGCTTCCTTACCAGGTTCTAGACCCAGACAGAATAGGAACAAAAGCCAAAAAGGCAGAGGCAAAGCTAGGTCACTCTACATCCAGGTTCACTCGGAGTTGATCAATCTTCCAAATCCATGGCCATTACTACCAGTGGCCAATGAAGTCAGACTTAAGCTAACATTGTGTGTGTATTTGAGACAGCCCTTTGTTACAGTTCAGAATGAATTTGAGCAATCCCGCCCCAACCTCCGAGTGCTGGGATCACAGGTGTGAGCTGCCACAAGTGGCAATGAGCCATTTCTTTGTGCCAGACATCTTCCAGAGCCCACCGCAGTCTTCAATTCTCTCACTGGCTATTACCATCTAACCATCTTAGCCCTCCCTTTGCCAGAGAACCCCGGTCCTTAAAGGTGCCCACGTCTATACCCACTGCCTAGAACCAGCTGCTTGGGCCATTTCCACCACTCACCCTGTGCAGCTCAATAGATGGCAAAGGAACTTATGAGTACTGCCGTTGGGACACCATGTGTGAAGGTTCCTGAAAACTTTTATTTTCACTTCATCTTCAAGGTCTTTCCCATGTCTATACTTCAATGCTTTTGTGTTTTGTTTTGTTGGGCAGCGTCTCTGTAGGTAGTCCTGTACTGGAACTATGCAGACGAGGCTGGCCTCAAAGGCAGGTATCCTCCTCTATCTACCTCCAGAATGCTAGAATTAAAAGCTTATTCAACTACACCCACACCCAGGGATGCCCCAACTTTTCTATCTAGTTATAGGAAACATTTACATGGTTTCATGGTGTCTCTGTAAGTGCAATGTAAGACACAGGTCTCCCTCATCAAGTACCTTTTTCTCTGCACATTCCTGTGTACATTCCTAAGGGCATTCATCCAGAGGTTACATCTCAGGTCTCCATCTAATCAGTGCTACTTTCCAAGTCTTCATGTAAAGTCAACGTTTTCCTTTGATTACTAGCATGACAGTTTAGCTGATTTCTTGGAATAGTTTTAAATTTTATTATATTCATGTGTGAACACATGTACATGTGCTGGCTACTAAGCACACTGGCTTCCTGGAACTAAACCCAGGACTTCAGGTTGGAGGCAACTGCCTTTACCCGCAGAGCTATCGCACTGGCCCAGTAGATTTAAAATAAGTGCAAGTCCTATAGAATCTATGTGCATGAAATATGTATATGA